GATCAGCTTTGCTCCATCAGTGCAGCCAATAGTGCTCCTCAATGCCCATCTGTGCTGGTTTTCAGTTGCTATCTGTGCTGGTTTTCAGTGCCCATCAGTGCTGGCTACCAGTACCTCCTCAATGCTGGCTGTCAGTGCTGGCTATCAGAGCCCATCGATGCTGACTGTCTGTGCCCATCAGTGCTATCAGTACCCATCAGTACCGCCTATCAATGCCCATTAATGCCACCTATCAGTGTCCATCAGTGCCACATACTGGTGCAGCTTCATCAGTGCCTCCTCATCAGTGCTCATCAGTGCCACATATTTGTGCAGCTTCATCAGTGCCACATATCGGTGCAGCTTCATCAGTGCCCATCAGTGCCACATATTGGTGCAGCTTCATCAGTGCCCTATATCGAAGCAGCTTCATCAGTGCCCATCAGTGTAGCCTTATCAGAGCACATCAGTGAAGGAGAAAAATCACTTATTTACAAAACTTTATAACAGAAACTAAGAAAAACTTTTTTTTTTTTTACAATTTTTAGTCTTTTTTCATTTGTTTAGCAAAAAATAAAAAAAATCCAATGGTGATTAAATACCACAAAAGAAAGCTCTATTTGTCTTAAACAAATAATACAAATTGCATATGGGTGCAGTGTTGCATGACCACGCAATTGTCATTCAAAGTTTGACAGCGCTATAAGCTGAAAATTGGCCTGGGCAGGAAGAGGGTAAAAGTGTTCAGTAGGCAAGGGCAGGGGCGGACTGACCATTTGGAAACTCGGGCACTGCCCGAGGGCCCAGGGACAGTAGGGGGCCCCATGAGATGCCCCTGGTACCTTTTTCATAGGCTATTTTGAGTTTGGGCAAGGACACAGGGGCCCCATGATCCCCTATTGCCCGGGGGCCCCATGAGTTGGTTAGGTGGTTAAACAATACCTAAAAAACACACTGAAAACATGCTGCAATTGCATCACAAACACATTACAAATGGGAGTAAACGCACATGTTGAACTGCACACTAAACGCGAGGATTGTGGCGTAAACAAACCCCTGGTGAAGATGAGGCATAACATGGTGCAAGGTTGACATCTAGTGGTTATATAAAGTACAGCAGGGAATACAATATACTGGAATGCATGTAGGAATACTACTGGAAAATGTTGCTTATAATACCCATTCAGGTTTCTATTTTCATTTCCTGATCTAGAAAATGACAGCTGGAATATGATTGGTTGCTAACATTAACTTTCCTAGCCTCCAGTGTGCATAGATGAACGTATGTCTGTAACAAGTATTATTATTATGCTGTCTTTTATTGTAGAGTATTTTTTCCCAAATAACCTGCAATAAAACTGCAGCAGATTCGAATCATTATTACATTTAGTATACTCTATGTTAAATGTGGTGCTAGAACTAGTGATGGCAAAGTCCTGTTGTCTATCCTTGGTATGACATATATTAGGCAGCTGTGGGAGTACAGACTGTACCAGGGATGAACTGACAACTCATGGGGCCCCCGGGCAATAGGGGATCATGGGGCCCCTGTGTCCTTGCCCAAACTCAAAAAAGCCTATGAAAAAGGTACCAGGGGCATCTCATCGCGTCACAAAAAATGTTCTTGTCCAGGTCAATTTTCAGCTTTCAGTGCTATCACACTTTGAATGCCAATTGCGCGGTCATGCAACACTGTACCCATATGAATTTTTTAGCATGTTTTTAAAACTTTATTTTGGTGGTATTTATTCACCACTGGGATTTTTATTTTTTTTTATGCTATATAAATGAAAAAGTCCACAGAGTGGTGAAGGGTTAGAACCATGGTACTGATGAGCGAGGTCATACACCAGAGCCAGAAACAGACAAGGAACTAACAGAAGACAGGCAAACATGGTTGTGAGCCCCCATCATAATGGATTGGGAGTAATAATAGCTACGAAAGGCAATGGCCATAGGTCTAACCAAATCTTCATTCTCAACCACCAGCACCACCAAAATTGGAACGATTACTCGACTTTTGGTGCAGGTATCCTTTAAATGCTCCTCTCCCCCTACCCTATCTCTTCTCCACGTTCTTTGCTATGCAGCCCAGTGAGAGCTGAACAACCTCTTTATCTAAACCGGTAATTCATTGGTGTAAAAAAATTGTCCACCACAAATGGACAGCATTTCCATTGAAATGAATAGAGTTAGGACAGAAGACTTTTGTAAATTGACATGTGGCTCCCAGAGGGCCACTCAGTGAAGATCTTAGAGGGGCAGGAAGAGGTAAATAGCAAGTCTGACTTGGATGCTGGAGAAATGTTAAATGTTACCTGTACTATAATGAATGAACGACTACCCCAATGGCTAGCAAACCTCTGAAGGCCATAAACTAGTTTTTCCACAGTTTTTGTGTGACGGGAGTCACTTTGATTGGGGGGCCCATGGAACCCAGCTCACTTTGGAGAGGTGGGGAGACCCCTGTCTCAGCTCCCCATATCCCTCTTATGTGTAAATCACCCTGTGCCTGTTGGGGGGACAGGGTGATCTGTCCTAATATTGTGTGGGCTTTGTCTCAGACTGTGTAGACATATTTTGGAGATAGGTGGTGGGGGGGTTGTGGATTGTTTAAAGTTATGTGGTTGCATCCCATTGTTCTATTGCTTGTCTGGCTTGGGAGCAAACTATTATGGGATGTATGTGGTTATGTGTATTAGCTTAGTGGGGGGGGGGGGGTCTCCTGCAGCCCTCCCTCCTGATGGGACTGTCTGCTGGTGTGAAGTTTGAATACCTGTGTGTCTCTTGTTACTAAATGTAGATTGCCCCGCCCTGTGTCATTATGCAGGGAGGGGGGATTGTCCCCTGAGTGTATATAATTTGTATCTGTGTTTAAATAAAGTAGTCTACCTCCTGGTTTACTTCAAGACTGGTGTTGTCCAGGGGCAGACTGACAACTCATGGGGCCCCTGGGCAATAGGGGATCATGGGGCCCCTGTGTCCTTGCCCAAACTCAAAAAAGTCTATGAAAAAGGTACCAGGGGCATCTCATGGGGCCCCCTACCGACCCCGGGCCCTCGGGCAGTGCCCGAGTTTCCAAATGGTCAGTCCACCCCTGGTGTTGTCTAGTCTTGTTTGGTCGGCTGTGGTGTCTGTTGTCGGTGTTCAGACAGACGGGGGAAGCGGTATTCTAACGGAAGTATTCAAGCGCAGTCTGGGTCGGTTCCGTTACATTTTGTAATTTTGATCCATGCATCCTTCCCTAATACTTTTCTTCTGTGCCTCTAAATAGCTCCTTGCTCCTAGAACACTGTATTTAAAATCAACTTCATAAGTAATTTTTTAAGTATTTACCTTTTTTAATCGGTTATTGTTTTTATATTGTTATCTTTTTAGGTTTCCTTTGTAATGTTTACCCTAAAACAAAATGTTATGAGCAATGAGAATACATTTTTTAATGCTACCACACCATCAGACGAAGAGCTTACAATCTTTAGCAAAATGTCTGAACTGGTCCCTAAAGTCACGTTCACCAACATTAATTACGCAACAAGCGCCAAAAACAGCCGAGCAACCATATTTAAAGCAAGAGAGACTTATTGTGTTGGAGATATATTGATTGTCCAGATTGACATGTTTGACCAATTGGGTAATAAAAAAACATACGGAGGAGACTTCATAAAAGCAAGAATATTTTCTCCAAATCTTAAGGCTGCAGCAAGTGGGAGGGTTGAAGACTTTAACAATGGGACCTATCATGTCCATTTCACTTTATTTTGGGAAGGAATAGTCTATGTTGCCTTGGTACTCCATCATCCAAGTGAGGCGGTTTCCTCACTGTGGAGAGCAAGGAACCAGGATTATGGTCTCATATACTTCACAGGAACCTTTCAAAAAGGAACTCAACAAGTCAAGACTGAATGCGGATTCAAACTAAGGACTAATGAAGTCTGCAAATATCGATACGACGAAGACATGGAATCATTTTTTTGCAATAAAGCAAGAGACGTCCATTGTGAATCTTTAACATTTCTTCAGTCCTACAACAGAAATATCTCCTTCCTTTCAGAAGAAGAGAAAAACTTACTTAAAAGGTAAACGGTTTACTTCATTTATGGCTTTCAAAAAAAAATTTAAAGGCCAGTTGAAGTTTCTTTCTTTTTTTTTTTTTACTTGTTATGTAGTCAGGCTGCTTAACAAGCAAATAATATGATGGCTTTTTTACATTTGTATGCATTTGTGATTAAAAAAGTAAGAAGTTGCTATGTGCTGGATGCACACTGGAGAGCCAGACCACTGCCTAGCGGTCCGGGTTTCCCAACAAGACCCTGCACAGTACTCCAATAAACAATGCTGCTCATTGAGCATTATTGATTGGATCATTGTGAGGGGGGGGGGGGGGTGTTGGACCACTTAAGACCATGAACACTGAACTCTCTTTTTATATATATTATATATATATATATATATATATATATATATTGGATTGCTGCACATATAAATTGCAGTAATCAAGTTTCTTTTTTCTATAAATGACCTTTGGGAGGGCCTGATTGCTATGCACTGTGATTGATCATCGTTGTGCACTCCACCCATATTACTGATATATATATATAAATAAAATGTACCGTATATATAAAAACAAATTATAAATACCCTTTTTTCTCTTTTTGTAAGTGATAAAATAACCTCTGTTCTCAGCTGCAGAAAAGGTATGGGTAGACAATGCAAGGGTTGTGTAAGCAGGAGGCAGAAAGACAGCAATACACTGGTCTTCCCAATGAAAAAACTGTCTTGGCTATTGGTTGACAGGCAGGCTGTGCTCCCAGTACAGCCAGAAAACTGACCATGCTGGAAAGGATGTGCTCCCAAGCCTAGTGTGGCCAGTTTGGAATATTAAAGCAGGGGGACTGGCAGGAACACCAGGTATTTCACACAAAGGAAGGAATATAAAGAGAACAGACTACTTTTTATCACAAGTAATTGGTACAACAGACGCATATCAGGAGTATGCAATGTTGGAGTAACAAATATTGTGATCTGATCTTCTGGTCTTAAAGTGTTACTAAACCCTGGACCCTGCATTCACTATACCGGTCTCCCGGACCCTGCATTCACTATAACCGGTCTCCCCGGACCCTGCATTCACTATAACCGGTCTCCCCGGACCTGCATTCACTATATCCGGTCTCCCCGAACCCTGCATTATATATCTGGTCTCCCAGGACCCTGCATTCACTATAATCCGGTCTCCCCGGACCCTGCATTCACTATATCCGGTCTCCCCGGACCCTGCATTCACTATATCCGGTCTCCCGGACCCTGCATTCACTATATCTGGTCTCCCCGGACCTGCATTCACTATATCTGGTCTCCCAGGACCCTGCATCCACTGTATCTGGTCTCGCCAGACCCTACATTCACTATATCCGGTCTCCCCGGACCCTGCATTCACTATATCCGGTCTCCCCGGACCCCGCATTTACTATATCTAGTCTCCCCGGACCCTGCATTCACTATATCTGATCTCCCCGGACCCCGCATTCACTGTATCTGGTCTCCCCGGGACCCGGTCTCCCCGGACCTGCGCATTTACTCACTATATCTGGTCTCCCCGGACTCTGCATTCACTATATCTGGCCTCCCACAGGACACACAACATGGAAATGCAATAGTTTAGTAAATATAAACTGCTAAATACCTTTTCTCATCAGCAGTTAGAGCAGTCTTGTGACTTCTATCAGTGTTTTCACTGGGAAGAGGAGTTTTCATGCTCCTCTAAATGTCCTATGAGGCTGCAGGACCCCTGACTCTCTGTCTGGACAGTGCTGATTGACCCTGATCACATGCACACTCTCTAGAAATACACACCAAAATGAGCATGTGCAGCTTGCCCCAAGGATTTGTTCTCAGCAGATGGTTGGGGGACAGTATAAGAGGAGGATCAGAGAAGACAGGATCAAATATCCTTTTTGCACAATACAGAGGATTAACCCTTCAGGTTCCACAGTGAGTATAACAAGCATGCTTCATGCAACTGCATATACAGCCGATTTTACTGCTGCGGGTTTAGTAACACTTTAATGCTTTCTAAACTTGATTGAGAACAAGCATGCAGATAAGGAAATTCATGGAAAAGTCAGAAGTCAGAACATACTTGTAGTGGACCAGTCATACCAGTGGACCAGTCACTCAGAATTCTGAAGTATGAAAATTAGCATGCTAGCCAGGCAACTAGCCTTTTCAGAGGGAGAAATGAACATTGTGGCAGAACAGTTCCGCATGGGCTTCCTCGTGCGGAGCGATGCGTCTCAGCTAATGGTCCCTTTGACCTGCTCTTCCAGTGCTCTGCCAAGGCAGGTATTAGAGCTCAAAGCCAATCCTTCCTTGCTATCCCAAACCACGAGTCGGAACTTCGTGTAGGGTGAAATGAATCAATCTTTATTGAACACAGTTCAGTATATACAGCTCCACCCCCACCCCCACCAGACAGCCTGGCAACGGGTTTTCCCCACCCTACAACCCAACAATACAGTATGAACTTTATAGAAGTGAAAGACTACAAGGCCACATTTCCCTAAACAAACAGTGAAGAATGCCTGTCTACATAACATCTGCTAAACATATACAGCTTTACCAAGGGGAGAATGGGAAGACCACTTAACAAGGGGATACAACCAGAACAGAAAGCGCAAAATGTTATCACAAAGGGACGGTTCGTCACAAACATGCTTTCCCTGACACCAGTTTCCTTTTAAATTTATTACACCATTGAGGAAATTGTATAAATGAAACAGAAAGCAAATTACATGTGTCTTAAAGTAGTTGTATAAACATATACCCACTGAAATGACTGGTCTCAGGTGATATACATAAATTAAATAAATCTTCTACACACGTTGTACAAGTTTATCTGGAGTGATCTCTTCTCTACAGCCTTCTGAAACACACAGGTCAAAGGCTTTTTTCTCAACTCCAGTGAGAGCGGGAGGGGATCTGACATGACATAGAGCAGGTTGCTGAGTGTAACCTAAGTGTCAGGGCTCCAGGTATGACCAGAGGTGTGTGGACTGACACAGGGAAACGCAGGCTTCAGATATGGTATAAACAATATGATTTATTAAGACTAACAATACAAAACGCAGTGCAAAACTAAACATAAACACAGTGCAAACAAACCAAACCACCACCGATAACAATACATACAATACAAAGAGTCGTCAGGCAGGCCGGGTCAGTAGCAAACAGGCAAACGGAGTACCAGGAACAAGCGGGAGAGTGGTAGGGGTCACAAGCTGGGTTCAGTAACTCACAGGCAGCGTGGAACAGAGGGTCGGGCAGAGAATGGTCAGGGTCACAAGCCAGGGATCAAGCAGGAGAAGTCAGCAGAGGTCAGAATCAGACAGTTTCGGCAACAAGTCAGACAGGAACAGGAATACAGGATACAAGGTACAGGGGCCCATGGAAAAAACACACCAAGGCCCTGACTGTGAGTCTGGCCATTCCTTAAATACAACCCCTGCAATCAGCTTCAGGTGTTTGGCTGATTGCAGGGGTGAGTCTCTGATTGCTGAGAGCATCCGCTGGCCAGCTTTGGTACTGCAGCCCACCAGGTGAGTCCCACCATTATTGGCAAGTCCATTCCTGACACTAAGTATATATTCATCACTAAAGAGAATGGGTAGTTTTCAGTCTTTGCAGTATCAGGAATATTAGTATCAGGGGAGTTAAACAAATAATCAAACAGCAATGTGCAACTTGATGTTTACTGAATTAATGCAGGATAAATTGACAATGCATACAAAATGGTAAAGGGGTATGCAATAAACACAGAACAAAGTGTAACAGTTAATGCAACTATTACCATAACAGGAGCTTCCCAGGGGCAGTTTCCCATTAAAGGCACTAAAAGGCAGTACAGTACAGGAAAAGAGATTCCTATAGAATGAAGTATAAGGGAGAACCACTGTGACTTAAATAGTACAATATAGTTTGGTCTAGTACAAATGCAGTTACATATGATTTCCTGGGAGTAACACCTTTTACATGAAGGTTGACTGCAACTGGTAGCCCAAGTGGTCAGCCACAGAAATTTATGACTAGCTCTGCAAAGAAAAGGCAGAAGAGGATAGACCAAGAAGGTGCTTCTAAGTGCAGTATATCCAGAAGAATCTTTAATAATGACAGTTAGAAACACTTACAAACCTGTATTTATAACAGGCTCAATAAAATCGTCAGAGTGCAGAGGCTCAATCCACCATGCCAGAACCCGCTGTGCCGACCAGCAGCTGCAGGGGTGGCTAAGGATCAGTTGTCCAAGATGGCCACTGCAAGTTCCGGGATTGCTGGAGCGCACGCTGTCCAGGAGAACGCAACCGGAAGTGATGTAGGTTAGGAACGGGCGTGGAACGGTGACGCGTTTCGGAGCATGTGCAGAGCTCCTTCTTCTTCTAGACGTTGGACTTAGCCAGATAATACAGGTTTATTCACTGCAATGAGCCATTCATTTCTGGGTGCAATTTCAGCAAATACTATTGCAGTTTACAAAATGTTTTTCAAAGGGCTGTACAGAGATAGATAACATATTAAAGAGCTATCTGGCGACCAAAAACATACAAAATATGAATATACAATATTTTATATTCAGGTGTAAGGTAAGTATCCTGATGTAATGCCCTTCAGGTTCAGCTAGGGGAGTTAGATCTTTTTTTTAAGACAGAGGCTTGTTAGGAGCCTGGTCATGAGTCAGCCAGGTTACTTTAGATCAGGGCTGAGGGCTTTGCAGGTCACTTCTCTGATACCTCCTCCTGCTCTAGAAGCTGGAGAAGTTTCTAAAAGTCAGTGGGTGGGGGTGAGGAGGAGCTGGCCTGCATACTTAAGAGACCTTGGTCAATCCCCAAGCAGGAGGATTGGCATGGGGCCAGGAAAGCCCATAAATATGATTGAGCCTGATCAGTGGTTCAGTGTCAGGTGAAAGATGGAGGGAAGGCTGGAGTGTGGAGCCAGGGAGGGGGCCCAAGGAAGGAGCCCACCTACTGGCAGGGTGCTGAAAAGGAGGATCTCTCTTCCTCAATGTCTCCTGAGAGAGGACAGCCTGTGGTGCAGGGAAGGAGCCAGCCCAGCGTCAGGCCTGAAGGCAACCACCAACCCACTAAGCTTGCAGATGAGACAGCATGAGTAATCCTACACTTGGGATAAAGAGAGAGGGCAGTCAGATAGAGAACCCAACTAGCTCCTCATCTGGGACTGTTTCAAGTTGGCAGCTTCTAGGTCCCCTTGCCCAGGGAATACCCTCAGGCAGCTGGGTGAAGAGGAGGATTCTTCTAGGGTCTGAGGAGGTACCAGAGAGAGCTTTGGCAGCTCTTAAAGGAGAGACTAGTTTTGGTCCACATTTTTCACACACAGCTGTCCTCAAGTTTGCATTTCCTTGGGCATCCCCTCAACCCCATTCAAGTTCTACAGTATAGAAAATAAAAATCATTAAACCAAGACTGTTTACTGACTCTGAGTGCAAAGTGTGGAAGAAAATGCATGTTGCCTGGCTGTGCAGAACTGTAGGGGGGACCCAAAACCTCTAGGGAAATAGTGCTACAGGTCACTAATAATCTAGCCTTGAAAGTCCCATCTACACGGGGGATGTCACGTACCTTAAATAGTGAGCCTGACGTGAAGAGGCAGGCCTCCCATACAGCTCCGGCTCAAGGGCCACTAGTAGTAGGACAGTAGCCACAGGAGCAAGGTGAGGTATGAGTGCCTGTGATCAGTCCAGTAGTAGGTGCGTGAGTGATAGTCCACAGACAGGTGAAGAAGCAGGACAGGTTCAAGGTGGACAGCTAGGCATGGATCTTGCTGGACGGCAGGTTATAGGTAACAGCAGGAAGCAGAATCCACATGCGGACTTGCCAGACTGATGAACTGTAGCCAGCAGGAAGGCAGATGCGAAGTCAGACGAGACGGGTTGGTAACAGTCGGGCAGATCAAGCATAGATGGCAGGTCACAGGCCAAGTCAGCAACAGAGGTACAATCGGACATGATCAGGAGGCAGAAGAGTAGTCAAGACAATTCGGGGTCGGGGCAGGTAGCAGACAAGCAAAGATCAGGAACAATGCGGGTAATAACAGAGGTCGGGCACAAGGATCAGGAACACACTCAGAACCAAACAGCAATGAGACAAGACTGCAGCCAGTTTAAATAGCCCTTTTGGCGCAAGCATTAGTGACAGGCACGCGCCTGGATGCGCGAGTGCGCATGCACGCGCCTGGATGCGCGAGTGCGCATGCACGCTTTTGCCCAAATCCATGCACATCTGTGTGACCCAATATTGTTCTGCGCATTGTTTCTGCGCATGCGCATATTTATGCACCGCGAACCCTCACTTGCACTATGGACAAGCCTTTCCTGACAGGGGAATTTAGTTTTGCATATTCCTTAAATAGGG